ATTGGTCGTTATTTTGGACATAGCGAGGCCTCTGATGGGCTTTAGCACAAAGCGCTTCTATAAAAGCTTCATTCCTACAGGCTTCCTGAGAAATTCATACAAATACTTGTTTCGTGCGGGTTCAAATCCCACACGGAACAAGTATTTGTGGCCTACAAATAATTATTCCGGGTTTGGATGTTTGTCCTTGTGCAATTTTTGTTTGTAACTCCACGATACAGGAAAAAATCCTAGTGTGTTTTTGTAAAAAGAAGAAAGAAAAAAAAAGAAATTGTGCAATTGGATCATCAGTTTTCTTGCCGATCGGAGCATCAAGGTCGTAGACGGTGCATTCTCTGCTACGAGCCTATTAATGCTAGTGCCTATTAAGGCTGCGTGCTATCATATCCGCTATTTCTTCTGTATATCAATTGTATGTTACTGTTACTGGTTATAATACTGGTGATGATTTTTACACCGGCCCTGCTAATATTTCTCGGGAACATGTCATCGAGTATCGGAAAAAATTTGTGTTTGAAGTCGAGTATTAATAAACAAAATCTCGGATTAGGGACGACTCTAGACTAGTTCAAACTTAAAAAAACACTGGTTTGTGTGTTTACTGCTAAAATGTACCCCTTTGTCGTATCTCCTCAATTTCAGGCCAATTCCCATGCTGCCTTAGCCATCATCGGAATCCTCGGTATTGACATATCGAATGACGTACAGTTCCGCGGTCACTTGGAAGGGAAGACTAAATTAACCTCTAAAAAGCTTGGCATGTTCAGAGAGTGGTACAGTATTTCATGCCAGTATACCGTTTGCAACTTTACAAGGCGCATGTTCACCCTCACATGGAGAACTGTTCTCATTTTTGGACTGGTGCACCACAGTGCCAGCTCCTCGACTGACTTGACCGCATCCAGCTAAAAGAGGGGATCGAATCGTCGACGACCGAGTTCTTTCTGATCGGCTCAATTCACTGTCGCTGCAAAGAAATATTGCATTACAAGTTCCACTTTCCACGGGGAGTACGTAGACAAATTGTTCAGATTAATTACAGCCGCCAAATTCCACCAACGCACATCGGGACAAAACTCCACTACCATCCACATCATCTAGATGCTTGGTGGTCCACGATGACTGCGATTTACTAGGAATTTTCTTCCTCGCAAGAATTCTTTGTGAAATCATCTACCACCGGCGATTTTTCCGGTCCGATACGATTTAGAGATCTTCAAGAAAAGAGCTTACTCCTTTTTAAAAGGCCGGCGAACCTGCAATTTCCTTGGTTTTGCAGTTGTTCATGGGCGATAGACGACACTTACTATCAGGAAAATTTGATTTAATGTGGGCGAAACTGCGGGATGATAAGCTAGTCTTTATCTCTTTATGTATAAAAATTACGTGTCACATTGTTCGTCCGCGATGAACTCCTAAACTATTTAACTGATTTCAATAAAATTTGGCACCCTGAGTGCAGTTTGGTTCAACTTGAGGGAAGGATAGTTTTTATCCCGATAAGTGACCCTCAACTTTTTATTGCTAATTTCAGGATTTTTTTAGCAAAGCAATTGGTCGTCGGAAAGGGCAGAACAACGTCTGCCTGGTCAGCTTTTCTTTGTATACAAAAACTAGCTGTTCCCCGCGACTTCGCTCGCGTGTTAGTTACTCTTTATGAAATCAGCTATCTGCCAGTGAAAGTCCCTTCAAAATCGGTCCAGCCAGATAGACAGACAGACAAAAATTTCAAAAATTGTATTTTAGTTATAGGTACCGTATTTACTTTCATATGTATTTAGTAAAAAATTTTAATTTTGACATTAGAATAGAATAGAATAGAATAGAATAGAATGATTTTTAGAATAGAATAGAATAGAATAGAATAGAATAGAATAGAATGATTTTTATTCAATATGGATAATTACATAATACTTATTGAAAGTCATTATTTTATTTACCACTGGTTCGGAAAATACCTCTGCCCTGGGAAGAACCAGCAAGAAACCCAGCGGGACTTTTTTTTTAAACATAATTTCACTTAACAATAATTTTGTTTATACAATTTTAAATGAATTTTCATAGAACCAGCATGGTGGCGATCACCTTATTCCCTGGGGTTATTTTCATTCATGTATTCCTTGATATTATAATAACCCTTTTTGTACAGTTTTTCTTTAATAAAACTTTTAAACTTGTTTATTGACAAACTTTGAACATGTTCTGGGATTCTGTTGTAAAAGCGTATACATTGCCCCATAAATGAATTACTAATTCTGTGGAGTCTTGTAAGTGGCATTACAAGCTTATGTTTGTTCCTAGTGTTTAAGGTATGAACATCCTTATTCTTATTAAAGCTATTTATGTTTTTATGTACATACATTACATTTTCATAAATATATTGCGATGCCTATATATTTATTGTTATATATTACTATGTATTTTAAATAGTAAAAGAAAACAAAGATGGAAAATCAAGGGAACAGAGTAAGCAAATATCCAATTATAGGACTCTAATTACAGATCTCAAATTAAATTATCAAGAAAACAATTCAAAATGAAATCCGAAAACAACAACACTTAAGAGATATATCGTAAATATTAAAAGGGATAACAAGAATTACAGTAACTTTTAAACGATGTTCGTTACCTGCTGTCACTTTAAGTTGAGAGGCACTAAAAATTTATTTATTTAAATATTTACCACTTTTATTTATTACACAATAAAATTTGTTCGTAATTAACAACTATAACTTAAATTTGAGGTGGAAATGATCAATTACAATAATTATTTTTACGAAATTATTTGGGAGCCCAATTTTTTAACTATTTGTCACCGGGGTTGCCACAGAGAAAAAAAAGACACTACAAACAGACACTTCAATTTTATTTATTTGTATAGATATAGATTACGTGTCACATTGTTTGTCCGCGATGAACTCCTAAACTACTGAACTGATTTCAATGAAATTTTGCACACTGTGTGCAGTTTGGTCCAACTTGAGAGATAGTATAGTTTTTATCCTGATAAGTGACCCTCAATTTTTTTATTGCTAAATTCAGGAGTTTTTTTTAGGAAAACAAATGGTCGTTGGAAAGGGCAGAACAACGTCTGCCTGGCCAGCTAGTCTTTATATATAAAAATTACGTCTCACATTGTTTATCCGCGTTGAACTCCTAAACTACTGAACTGATTTCAATGAAATTTTGCACATTGTGTGCAGTTTAGTCCAGCTTGAGGGATAGGATAGTTTTTATCCCGCTAAGTGACCCTCAATTTTTTTATTGCTAATTTCAGGAGTTTTTTTTTTTTAGGAAAGCAAATGGTCGTCGGAAAGGGTAGAACAACGTCTGTCTGGTCAGCTAGTAAAATTTAAAATCTAGTAAATATATTCGTGGGATGGACAGGCATAGACAGAACACGCAGGTGGGGTGGCCTATATTCATAATTAGCTTAGGGCTGTGGCAACTCTAAATCAGGCATTACTCATAATTAGTCTACGATAGTTAGAAGATAGATTCTAAACTACACCACTTAGCCCGTGCTTTGTCTTCATGTATTTAAATGCTGTCAGTTGTCTTTCCCTAATAGTTGCTTCATCCAGTAAGATCTTGTTCCAGAATATGTTTGCCTAAGTACGTAAACATATTCTACGACAAAGGTATAAAATAATCTGCGGTAGCAATGAATAATGCAACCTATGGGGAAGCGTATGTTCAGCAGTAGACTTTCATAGGCTGTATGAAAGTTATGAAGTGCATATTCGTATCTGGGATATCTTTTCACTTCTGTGTACATACCAGTCTATTACCCGTTCAAACTGTAGAGATGAAGACTATGTTAATGATTTTTTATTTTAATGGCTATAAATAGGTTTATGAACTCATTATGACTGATGAACCGAATAAACCGATTATGACAACATATTGCGTTAAAATATTTTTTAAATATTCTATGCCAGTGCCATAGACATAGTATCTTACCAATCCTCTCTCTACGGCCAGTGCATGACTATTTCCCCTGACGGTATTGATGTAGCCACATCGTCGGCTAAAAGCGCACTGACTTCCGTTGGCAAAAAGCCTTAAGAACTAAATATATTTTGAACGATGCTTGAACACCATACCGAAAAACAAACAAATAACAGTAAAAATCATAGTATTACGTTGAACGATTTCAATTTCTAATAAAGTTATAAAAACATAATATTATAATTTAATACCAATTCTTTCCTTTGAATTTAGCACAGGTTAATCACAGGAAAAAATGAAGGTCTCAGTAATAATAATGTTCCCTATACCAAATTTAGATAACGGCGACTAGTCTCGATGGAGATTACAGTCCCGGTGCATTCTCTTTTCCCTCATTCTTATAGACCAATGGGTCAGCAATTGGTCCGTACCGGTATTCGAACTCACGTGACCGGTGTTTACAACCACTAGACCAACGAGGCGGTTAGTGTTTAGTAAGTCAGAATAAATAGCACAATAAATCAAATACCTTTAAACAGATACAATTTTGTTATTATAGGCGATTTTTTTTTATTTCTGTGGATTACCATTTAAAATGGCAAACCAATTTAGCCTTAGCAATGGTAGCACTGAAATGACGTTCAACAATTACACCAATTGCCAACTTTATAATTTCAAGGTAAGAATAAAGAATGATTCAACCATTCAACAGTGCTCAAAAACCTCATCTGAGTTCCAATAATAAATTAGTGTGGTTAAAAATAATAACGATTTTATAATACAAAAATATTACAAAACAATGAAAGGTTCTATTTTTTTAATTACACTTAAAAATAAAATTATATTTTTCCGTTTTATTAAAATAAATACGTCTCAATCTCTGCAAAATACGGGTTTATGAACGATCCGTATCAACGCAATTCTACCATAATAACAAATCTACTACTGTACACGTAAATTTCTTGTCAAAGTGTTGCTGATGCTGAGATTAAGTTAGTGAAGTAGCTGTAGTAATTTCTGTACATATTGTCCTAATAATAACCAGCAAAATGGCAGATTCTGTAACAGAAATGCCATTACACATCGAAGAAAGTTTTAAAGAGACATTAAAAAATGCGACAGATAAACCACCAACGTCTATTGAGGGCATCGCGATCGCGTACTTAAGTTTGGTTGTTATGGCTGTGTTGCCCATATTTTTCGGGTCTTTTAGGTCTGTTAAGTACCTGAAGGAACAGAAGGTAAGCTTGACAAAATTTTTTCAGTGAAAATTATCTAATAATAATGCTTGAGTAGCGGAGGCAACAACAGCGATACATGTAATATGTCATCGTGGCACTGCGACTTGTCGTTTCGCTTAGTTATCAATAATGTAAATTCTATATTTTAGTTTTTTCGTGTTATACCAATATATTAAAATAAGTATCCTTTGTCAACTATGAGAAATGGACCAGCATTTGCAAGTAGTTTCAACGGTTTTGAGAGACATCTGGTATTGCGATCCCTAGTTCGTCTGTTAAGCGTAACGCTTATGGAAAATCCTTCCTACTAGGAAAAAGCTATATACTATTATTAACAAACTGATATAACCTAAGGGTTGGGCTTAGTATTCTGTTTATGTTGGTAACAATAATACTATAATGCGACTGTCTCCACGGCATAATGTTGCAAAAGTAGCGCTCGTTTTCTGTTGCAGCCTTGTGACTTAACTGACAAATCGGTGTGTGATCCTCTAATTGTCCTCCAATTATGTGTTGCTACGAGTTATAGATTTATTAATAATTACTAGGTAGAGAGTAATGCTAACTTACACAGTTAATAAACATAAATGTTATATAGTAGATCTATAAATGGTGTATAGTATATATTTATATAATAACTGCACATATACTTATAAAATATTTGGCTCTTACTTTTTTTCATAAAACCTAAAACACAGGCAAAGTAGCAATAGAATTTGTAATTTTAGTAGATAATTTTTATTCTGTACTCAAAGAGTTGTTACATGAGTTGGTTACATTATTTCTACTTGTAATAATAACTAAAATTAGGTGTAAATAACACATTTCTCTTGCAAAACTAAACTTTACAAACTTTTTATATCAAAGTATTCAAAAAATGCAAGTAAATGTTACTAATTTGATTAATTGAATTGGTTATTACAAAACAATGCAACTTCTTGTGTTTGTAATTACTAGGGTGTCATAATTGTATCAGTGACAAAACCGTTTTTCTATGAATAAATAAAAATCTTATGTGCAATTCATTCATTTATTCAAAATCAGTCCTAAATAACAAAAAAAACAATTTTCAAAATAATTATTTGTCAGTCTGTCTGTTTGTTCCAGCTAATTCCCAAATTGGCTGGACTGATTTTGATGGGTTAAGTTACCCATAACAGAACAAATAGCTGATGTTATAAGTAGTAACTTAGGCTACTTCTATTTTAGAAAAAGAATAAGGGTACTGTGCAAAAAATTCAAAACTCATGAAATCAAAACGTAATAAAGTCCATGTGGAAAGTCACAGATCACGGTCACAGTCAAGCTAGTATATAATACCTGTATATTTGTGTACATGTCAAAGGACCAGAACAAGCGTAACAAATAAGCCAGATCTCATCTAAAACGAGAGAAGCCTATATCCAGCAGCAGACTTTAACACCAGATAAAGAAGGAAAATATATTCCTAATTATCTTTAATTGTTTCCATCTATAGTATGGTCCCCGAGCATGAAAAGTTTTGTGCAATAATTTTTTGCCTTCTGCCAGTAGGCAAAAATTTTTTGTCAGTAGCAGCTGTTTTTCTCAGTAGCAGCTCGGAGTCAGAAAGTTGGCGGTGTTTTCACCCCTGTGCCTCGGAAAGCACGTAAAGTCGTAGGTCCTGTGCCTGATCTCTCCTATTTTGTCAGATTACCGTCCCATCGAACTATGAGAGTGAGGGAACAGAGAGAGGCACATCCACTCGAGCACTATAATCCCGTCCTGCTCAGATGGCTAGTCTCCGTTTTGACTGGCCGCCAGTGGCTCGGCGACCGGAATTAATACTCGGCACAATACGCTGTCGAGGTTTCTGAATTTGTAATCTGATTTCACAGACGAAAAGAGCATTTTTTGTAGAGTGCCATGGATGCTGACATTATGCGACTAAATTATGTTTGCAGGAGTCTGGGGAGCGTCCTGAGACAATGTCCAACAAAGATGCTCTGATGTTCCCAATAATAGCATCTTGTGCACTTTTTGCACTATATATCTTCTTCCAGTTCTTCTCCAAAGAATACATAAATCTTCTTCTTACTGGCTACTTCTTCTTCCTTGGCGTGTTGGCATTGAGCCATCTTCTTAGGTAAGTTATATATTATAATATACCTTTATATTATATACCTTTTTTTGCTATATTATGTTTTTAGGGTTAGTTGAAGTGCAATTGTCAAATGTAACATTTGAAAAAAGAATATGTTTTAGACTGCATGCAAATAGCAATTTTGTATCATATTTCAGTGGTAAATATAAACATTGCTAATTCCGAAATTATTTTGACGCACAGTGGCTAAACTAAGGCTGTGGTGCTGTGAATTTTGGGTTCAAATTCCGCACGGAAATTTAGCAAATTGTATGTTTTTTCTTGTCCATGCCCATATGCCATTTAAATACATAATAAGAGATGAGAAATTCCAAGTGTAGGGGTAATGTTATTTAAAAAATAAATAATCAAATATTTACGTTTTTTTTTAATTGCTTAAAATTGTAAATAGAAAAAAAAGATCGTCATTTAATAATAATCATTTAAATATGAGATACATTTAGGTTAAGAAAGCTTTATCAGCCATGTTTGTTTAAATTAATAAAAACGGACCTAAGTGATGAAAGTGAAAATAAATTGGATTTCGTATTTCGGAGGCTGAATCCTCTTCTCGCATCAGCACAATATGGTATTGTATAGTAATAAAGATTTTGAATAAAGCTAAGGCTAGCTTTGCCTAGCTTAGCTAACTCCTGGGAATGAGGTGATCGCTACCATGCTGTTTTAAATATTTTCGTACTAAATTGTATAAAATAGTATATTGTAAATTAATGTTTAAGAAAGAAGTCTCATTGGATTTTACGCTGGTTCTTCCCAGAACAGAGGCTTTTCTGGACCAGTGGTAAAGTTTAAATTACTTTGAATAAGTATTCTCGTAAACTATATTGAATAAAAATCATTCTATTCTATTCACATTTCTGAGAGTTATGGAACAATGCAGGTTTCCTCACGATGTCTTTCTGCCAAATGCGTGGTTTAATTAGTACATTAAATTGCAGTTAACACTTATTAATGCAGGAGGGGATTGAAGCCGGGTGCTCACTTACTGTGTAATTTACAAAGAGCACTTAGCCCTTGAGCTACCATGGATAAACTTGAGTATAAGGTTAAAAATACTTTCAGCCCAATCATCGCACTGGTGGTCCCAGCATCGATTCCAAATGTTCCTTACCATGTGCACTTCACGCGCGGCGAGCGGGACGCGCGCTATGACATCATCAACTACAAGTTCACGTCCTATGACGTCATCTGCCTGCTGATCTCGCTCTGCCTTGGCGCCTGGTACTTGTTCAAGAAGGTAAGACAATCTACACTTGATTTATTTTTGCGGTACTCTATTCTGCCAGTATTTAAAAAAATTTCTTCATTAGCTAGTTACAAATTTAAATTCCGCTTTATCAAAATTCATATCATATACCAGCAAAACCTGATAGACATTGCCCTGCTCGTGTATACTTATTTTCATGACCATCTGCAGGGCTAGCATGGGCAGTAGACAATTTTATCGCCGGGGAAAGGAGAAGATGTTTATCCCCTCCCTTAGTTTTACCCATGATGAGCATGGGCACACCGGTGGATATAATATCCACAGTAGATAAAATGGGAGATAGACTTAAATAGATATTTTTGTATGAATATAAACTTAAACCACATCCAATGAACTAGGATAGAATAGTCCCTTTCAAATGTCAAAAAGCATAATTTTTTATCTTTCATTTGGCTCCATGCTACGGACGGGGGATATGTATATGTCGTTATGTCAAACGGGGACATACTTCTCCCCGTTGCCATACTTTGGCATAGGGACAAGATAATATTATCTCTTGTCAGTGGATAAAATTGCCCATGATCGCCGTGCAGTTGGACTTAATAAATGTTGATGTGCTGCAGTGCCATCTAGTAGTATTACCTTGTCCATGAAAAAATAAATTTATGTGCCAATTTTCATGGTTATTGGTAATACGGTGTCGAAGTATATAACTAACCATTAACAGATATATATACAATATTCATTTTTATACATGCAGATTGTTTTTTTTTTTATAATATGTTTATCATGCTAACAGCATGATAAACATATTATAAAATATTATTTCTCTTCATAAATGACCTGCTTCAAAAACACCCATTTCCTCTTATATTAAAATTTTCGGAAGATAAACACATCTGAAGATTATAATAAATTGCAAAATAATCTAGATCGTTTGTCTGCTTATTGTGCAGCTAATAATTTACAGCTGATTTTATCAAAATGTAAATCTACATTCGCTAAAAATATTAATGTCATCCATTTCACATACTCTCTTAGTAATACTCCCTTAGAAAAAGTTTCCATAATAAAAGACCTGGGAATACAATTTGACTCGAAGCAACATTTTGATGCTCATATTGGTCACATTACGGCTGAAGGCTTACAGCTTAGTGCTTTCGTAAGAAGAACCTGTAATCTGTACAAAGTCACTCATTATGTCACAACTCGAATACGCTACTTGTGTTTGGAACCCACATTATGAAAAATATAGTGATCAGTTGAAATTGGTACAACGTAAATTATCTTCGGTTTTTAAACTATAAATGCCTTAGGAAATGGTCATCATATCTCACTCTTTAAGATAAATTCTCAAATTCCACTCTAAAAATGAGAAGATTATATTTGGATCAATTATTCTTATACAAAATCTGTCATGAGATTGATAGATCTAAATTAGATTGTAATCAACTTATAAATCAAATATGTCTACGCACACCTAGTCGGTCCCAGCGCATTCGTAATAACGTATAAGTAGTCATAGCTTATTTGCTCCTAAGATGTGCCGAACAAAGGCGGGAGCACGAGCTCCATTATGGTGTATCACAATATCATATAATGATAACTTTACTGATCTTGACATTTTTGCTTATCATTTCTAATGTTTAAAAAGTGTATTTTCTACCGACCTCAAAAAGGAGCCGGTACTCAATTCGACTGTATGTTTTTTTATGTGTGTTACCTCATAACTTTTTACTGGGTGAACCTATTTCGATGATTCTTGTTTTATTTGAAAGCTGGTGCTTCACATGTGGTCCCATATAAATTTGATCTAGGTGTGACTCTATTAGTTTTTGAGTTATTCTTAATAATTTATATTGAAGTAGGTTGTACAACATTTTTAATTTTAAATTATAAAACAATGTACTATTAAATAAAGTATTGTCTCATAGTTTAAACAGATTGTTATAAGAGTAACTGTAGTTTCTCGAAGCAAGTTTTGGCTTGGATAGCCACTACGAGGGCGGTACTGAAAATTTCGGGAATCAAAGAAGTGACACAAGATTACTTTTTAAAAATGTATTTATTGCTTTTCGAAGTATTTTTTTTTATTTCCATAAGATGGAACCAATCATTGAAGCAACCATTCCATTCGGAAGTTGAGGTCTCCAAAATGGCCGTTTTGTAGGCGTCCACAGCTTTTTCATGTGATGAAAATCTCTTTCCACGCAATTTATTCTTTAGTTTAGGGAAAGTATAGAAATCATTAGGGCTTAGGTCGGGGCTGTACGGCGGATGGTCTAATAATTCTATGTTTTCTTGCTCTAAAAACTCTTTTGTTCTGTGTGCGGTGTGAGAACTCGCATTGTTGTGATGTAGGATGATGCGGCGGTTGTAGTTCTCTTTACGGAGTTTAGAAACGACCTGTGGCAAACAAATGCTAGCATACCATTCTGCATTAACCGTTCTTTGTCCCTCAAGAGGAATAGTCGTAACATGACCGATTTTGGAGACAAACGTGGCCACCATTTTTTTTTTTGCAACACTACGTGAACGAACAATTTTTGTTGGCTTTAACTCATTTTCGAACACCCAAACTCGTGACTGGTTTTTTGTTTCGGGTTCGTACGCGTATATCCAGGATTCGTCACCTGATACGATGTCGTATACAGCATTTGAGGATCCTGCGTGGAATCTTTCGAGAGTTCTGACGAACCAAGTAACGCGAGCCGCTTTTTGCTCTTCACAGAGCGAATGCGGTATCCATCGGGAATACAACTTTTTTACACCTAATTGTTCATGCAAGATTATTTGTATTTGACTCATGCCAATGTTTATAGTTGCCTGAATTTCGCGGTATGTCACATGTCGATCTTCCTCAATCAGCTTACGCACAGCATCAACGTTTTCTTGGGTGACTGCAGTTTTTGGACGACCTTGACGGGGATCATCACTGAGCTTGACACGTCCACGTTGAAATTCAGCAAACCAGCGATAAATTGTGATTTTGGATGGGGCTTCATCACCATATGCAGAAATCATCCGGTCAACACACTGTTTTTGTGTTAAACCACTTCGAAAGTCATAATAAATCATCGCTCTTGAATTTTCTCGAGACAATTCCATTTTCTCAACGACTAAACAAGTTTGATAAAACCTTGTGGCAAGACCGAGAATCTTTTTTTAAATAAATAAATGGTATTCGATTTTTAAAACCAAGAACTTTTCAATTAAAAAGATTTTAATGTGACAGGAACAGTGGAAATATTCTATTCCCGATACTTTTAGTGCAGCCCTCGTATAGTAGTTGTGTTGCCTGGAATTTTCTCAGGCTAATCTCGAATTATTCATCTACTTGTATATCATACAACAAGTTTTCTGTGCAACATAATAATACTCTTATTGTTATATTACTTTGTCGATAACGGTGCTGGGAAACGGAGCTTAGAAAATGCCTGTTTTTTCTTCTCTTCAAGATATTCACATTGCATTCCGACAGAGACTGATGCTAGCACATCAGTCTTTTCTTCATGGAATATCATCATCACATTGCATCAACAAGTCCACGGCTAAAAATGGAACTCACAAAGCATGGTCCTGACCACCTGCATCCACGCAAGCCACTGCGACTGGTTTATAGTGCGTGAGCGTATGCGCAAGCACAGGTGCACTCTCTATTCCCTCACTCTCGTTGAACGGTAATCCGACACGACCTGCTTTTACATAATTTCCGAGGCACGGGGTTGCCACACCGCCAACTTCATGACTCCGGGCTGCTACTGAGAATTTACTGTCAGAAAAACTCAACAATGGATTTTGACCCGACCCGGGATTCAAACCCGGCACCTCATGATCAGCAACCGCGCTTACGACCACTAGAGCAAGGAGGCAGTTGCGGCTCATATGAGCTCAGATATGAGGGTAGGCCTGTGCCCAACAGTATACATACCATATTATATAGACTGTTATTTTCTACCGACTTCAAAAACATCTCACAGAATACCAGCGTAAAATAGCAGCTTAACACTGCTGTGTTTCGTATGGTGAGTGTAGAGAACCGGAGACCCTTTTTACTGGAAATGAGGTATTCCATCTTAGTTGTCACGGGTGACAACGCATTTGCATTTTGATTCTTTATCGAGGATAGATGTGGATGTCTATGGGCCGCAGCAACCACTTACCATCAGGTGGACTGTGTGCTCGTTTGTCACCCTTATCCTATAAAAAAAAGAAGCCGGTACTCAATTCGACTGTATATTTTTATGTGTGTTACCTCATAACTTTTTACTGGGTAAACCGATTTCAATGATTCTTTTTTTGTTTGAAAGCTGGTGCTTCACATGTGGTGATATATTTGATCAAGGTCTGACCAGTAGTTTTTGAGTTATTCTTAATCATTTGTATTGAAGTCTGTTGTACAAATTTTTTAATTTTAAATTATTTTTCTTTTATAATTAACTGAGCCTGCTTGCACCCAGCACTGGATCGCGAACAACCTGTTCGGCATCGCATTCGCGATCAACGGCGTAGAGCTACTGCACCTCAACAACGTGGTGACCGGCTGCATCCTCCTCAGCGGGCTCTTCCTCTATGATATCTTCTGGGTCTTCGGCACTAACGTCATGGTCACTGTCGCCAAGTCCTTTGAGGCGCCCATCAAACGTAAGTGCTTTGGCAATTTTTTTATGAGTTTATGTATGATTGCAATGGTATAAGTGACTTAGAGGATGTCTATCCTATAATACGTATATTTAAAAATTGCCGTTGACGCCACTCTTCGGCCCGCGCGGCTGGCCCGCCTTCGAGTGATAATTCCACTGAAGGACCCACGTGTTCCATGATAATTATTATAAAATACACACAAAACAGCTTTATACTACACTTAAAAGCGTATTTTAGTGGATTCGCGAATGAATTCTATTTTTGAATTCCCACCCTTGCCACCATGTAGTGAAACATACACAAGTTAACCAACTTTGTTTGTTGTTGTACACTCTCATTTTTTGATTACCCTTCAGCTATACATTATACTACACCGCCTAAATATGGACTTTTAAAAGGCAGTAACTGTAAGAAATAAATGAGTGAACGAACCCATGTGAATGCACACTACACGACAAGAAATAAATACATATCAAATACAATCATAAAAGCCGCGCGTTCTATCTTGGCCGGGCTGTAGTTAGCCGCGAATGGCTGCGCAATTATAGCTCTTGGAAACCAAAATGGTGACAAGAAGCGGCGAGTGCTCCCGCCAACTCACTTATAGTCTGTTTGCTTAGATACGTTCGCCTTTGTGTCACGCCGCCTTGGCACGTGCCGCATCTTGTCAAAGGCGCCGCCACGAGATCAAAGGTCGTGGCGTACACCCACAAGAAAATTTGGCATTTTAAAACAAAGCGCCGTAGTGAAAGGTTCTTTGCTAGCTAACTTGTGTTTATTATTTATATTCGTATTTTATTACAATAAACATAATAATAAAATAATAATCTATTTTATTTTTAAAAGAGTAAACATTTATTTAACCATCACAGTAAAAAATATTAAAATAAAAGCGAAATAAATAGTGCGTCTCCGAGTGTACCGACATTATCTCAGACTATGTTAACTCACTTCTTCAATATGGGTTGGCGCACCGCGCAGGAAAATATACCCCCCCATAAGGGCCGTCAGTTTGTACAGACGGCCCCCTGTCCGCGGCGGCCCCGCTATTCCTGGTTACGGTGGCGACCATGGTGCCGGCGGGGCAGGGGGTGCTAAGAATCTCGGGTGAAGGTTCGGTTGCCACGTAAGACGACTCATACAACAGGCAACATATAACGCACCCTGAGGACTCACGAGAAGATCCTGGAGTTGGAAGAAGAGATAGACAAGTTGCGCTGTAATATTATAGGATTATCCGAGGTCCGAAGAGAGGGGGAGGACTTGCTAGTCCTCGAAATAGGCTACTTGTTCTATCACCGGGATAGGCAACCATCTATCCTCAATATTTTTTATAGGATAGGGTGACAAACGAGCATACATCTATCCTCAATAAAGACCCAAAATGTATAGGCGTTGTCACCCATGCGGACTAAGATGGAATGCCTCTTGTCCAGTAAAAAGGGTCTCCGGTTCTCTACAGTCACCATACGAAACAGCAGCGTTAAGCTGCTATTTTACGCTGGTATTCTGTGAGAGCGTGGTCCTTCCCCGGTCGAGCTGACCCATTTATGCTACAACTATACTCTAATATAGCTGCAGCATGGCTCTACCACGTGGAAAGTTATGATTATGTACCTGGGACAAATAGTTCGACTAGGTAAGTCCAACTTCGACCGAGAGAGTTCGGAAAATTACGATACATCTTCTCGTTAGGTATAACTCAAAACTTGAAAACGAGATTGTACAACCAGTGCGTGTTGCCAGTGATAACTAATGGATCTGAGACGTGGTCCTTCACTGCTGGCTGTATGAGGAAGCTCAAGGTCACTCAGCGAGCTATGGAGAGGGTTATGCTCGGAGTTTCTCTGCATGATAAATTTAGAAATGAGAATATCTGCAGTAGAATCAGAGTGACTGACATAGCCCAACAGATTAGTAAGCAGAAGTGGCAATGGGCCGGCCAATAGCTTTGAAAACCCGATAACCGATGGGGAAAAAAGGTGCTCGAGTGGCGTGTAGGGCGACCCCCCACTAGATGGAGTGACGACCTGGTAAGACACGCAGGAAGTCGATGGATGAAGGTGGCTCAGGACCGTGCTTTTGTGGCATTTGTTGGGAGAGGCCTACATTCAGCAGTGGACTTATGATGGACTGTAATAATGATGATGATGATTTTTTTTAATATTTTACATAAAGACATTTGCATAATAAACATACTTTCAATTTATTCTATAATTGATATAGATAAAACAATTGTGGCACATCTCTATCTAAGCCACAATGATTACATGCGCGAATGTCTTGGAGAGCCAAAACTTCAGTCTGGCCAATATAGAACGCGTGGACTTATCTTTTCTACCGACTTCAAAAAGGAGCCGGTTCTCAATTCGACTGTATATTTTTTTTAACGTGTGTTACCTCATAACTTTTTACTGGGAGAACCGATTTAGATGATTCTTTTTTTATTTAAAAGCTGGTATGTCACATGTGGTCCCATATAAATTTGGCATTTACACGTACAAGAAATAATATTCTTTTTAAAATTGTCTCCAGTGGTGTTCCCGCAAGACCTGCTCGTGAACGGCCTGAACGCGAGCAACTTCGCGATGCTCGGCCTCGGCGATATCGTGGTGCCAGGAATCTTCATAGCGCTGCTGCTGCGCTTCGACAAGTCGCTGAAGCGTGGATCGGAGTTCTACTTCCGGGCGACGTTCTCCGCGTACATCGTGGGGCTGCTGGCCACCATCCTGGTGATGCACGTGTTCAAGCACGCACAGCCAGCTCTCCTGTACCTGGTGCCAGCCTGCCTTGGGACACCCCTCACGCTGGCACTCCTCCGTGGAGACATCAACGCCCTCTTCAAGTGAGTACCAGCTTTGTGCTTTAAGATGTAGTAGCCACGCTGCAGTAATATGGTTGTAGCACGAACGGGTCTGCTCGTGGTAAGACCTCACTCTTATACCAACGTAAAATAGCAACTCAAAGCTGCTGTGTTTTATATGATGAGTGCTGTCAACCGACAACGCTGGACAGAATATCCTCACGTTCAAAATGCTGCTTCAAGAGTTCACTGGCAGGAATTTCGTTGGAAATTGGTCAACCGACAACGCGGCATAGGTATCCTCGCATTCAAAATGCTGCTTGCTATCACCCGACTGGAGAAATTGAGTTCAGCATTTTACAATTGAATTTTCGCCATCAGTAACTAGTACTATTTATTGTTAGTCTTTTCATGAATTACTAAAAGTTAAGTTTTAAATATTTGTTTTTATGTCATTTCATCATCATCATCATCATCACTACAGTCCGTCACAAATTCACTAGGCATAAAACTCCATAGATTGCCTCACAGGGGGGTTCATTTGCAATAGTTACCATGCAAGGCGGGTTGCCCACCGCAATTTTATATTATTTTAATCTGTTATCTAGAAGATGCTGCTGCCCATCTTTTGTTTCATTTCCCTTTGTCGCCTCTATCGATGATACGAAGGAGTGAATTCTCTCTACACGACATTACGTCTCCAAACCTTTACGCATACTTTACAAATTTTACAAATTGTTTCAGCTACGAAGACCAACCAGCGAAAGAAGAACCGGTAACGGAAAGCAGCAAGTCGAAGAAGACTGAATAAATTCAAAGGCGCCACGTCAAATGCGAAAGCACAAACTTCTGCACACACCTTGCGTTTTAAGTATATAAAAAAAACTGTTTATTTTTTTTAAATCAATGACGACGGCTAGGGACCATGGCTAGTGACGTGAACTGGTATTTGTCGATATTTTGTTTTATCGATTTATTTGGTGTGAGCTAAATTGCAAAGTTTGAGAATTTGTAAAAATGTTTGTGTTCTTCCAATATTTGTATCTTCCATTGCCTTTGTTGGGATTTAGTGTTGTGGTTATAATAGCGTAATTATTTAGCTCTCCGTATCCAATTTGATAGGTAGTGTAATATAATTTGTATTTCAATGACTGTTTTTTTTTTTGGCGACTAAAGAATTTCTCTCCTTGCGTATTTTTTATTTAATATATTATTTATTTTATATTTCAGATGTGTTTATTTCTTAAAGAAATCGTTGTATATATTGTTTTGTTTAGCTCAATATCAATGTTAGCTAAATAAGTTTATATTTTTGTTATCAAAACTGTTTGTTTTGTACCTATAGTTGTTACCAGCTACGTCCAAACTATAAATAAAATTATTTTCGCTTAATTTTCTATTAAAATTGCAAATTTTCTTTTCTATTCTTGTGTTTAATAACTATATAATGTAAAAGACATTGGAAAGTATTTCGCATATTTTGCCTTGTGTTTGGCAGATGTCACAATACGAATTTATTCCATGAGAGGGCCAATCAGAAGAATTCTGATGCCAATTGGTGTAACAATTATACATAATAAATACATGGATCTAACGTTGTTTTCATTATTATATCTGTACAGTTAGAAACTATGGAAACGCACCTCACCTTGAATTTCGCTGTATGTCTGCAAAGTCGAGTGTCGAGATCGTAACTGAGGCATTACACGGTCAATCAAGACAAGACTGAATATGAAGAAAATACCACAGAGTATCTTTATAAAATACAAAGTTTGCTCCGTGAGACAATTCATGCATTCTATAGCGAGAGCCCGTGATCGCCAGACCTTTCTTATTTTATGAAAGCTGAAAATTTCTCAGCGCATGATGCTTCCAACATAAGTAGGACGACGTGGCTTTGGCAGCTAACAGGTAGCAAAGGTGTATAAAATAGCAACTTAAATTTGTCAAAGTATAAAGCGAAATTTTCTTATATTTTTTCGGAATAATATTAGAAATCACGTCATTCGTTGCCAGACACTTAGGCCCGTATTAATAAACGTTACTCAGCTCAAGTACACGCACTTGAGTACAATCTTGAGGTTATGATTTTATCAATAAACATATCTCAAGATGCGGTTTAGGTTTACGATATCAGCTGAGTGCCACATTGATAAATAAACGAAACTTGACTCTCGTGTGTGTGTACTTGAGTGCAAGTCACAGAACAGTATTCCTAAGTACAGCGTTTTGAGATACTGTTTTTATGTGTTTATTAATTAGCACCGATCTTGAGATGTTGATATCGTAATGAGGGCGTATCAAGTGATTACGCGCTTAAGTTAGTCGTTGAGTAACGTTTATTAATACGGGCCTTAGTATCCTGGCAACCTCTGGTCAGATATCCTTAAACTTTAATAAATTGTAACTGTACTTACGTTATAGTATAAAAGCTGAATTTAATTTATGTTACTTATGTAACTATTAGACGATATTTCCTCAGTAGCCAGACAGTTTCGACGGTTCTTACACTTGGCGAGACAAACATAGTGCGGGCGCGAGGCAATAAACCCGAGAATATAATCCGAGTGAGATAGTAATATGAATTGATCGGATAATTTTAATATGTTTATTACTAAAGAATCAATGTTTAAAAATTATGGACTATAATTTAATTTTGATAATTTAGTAAAATATAAACCTAATAACTTTATTAGGTCTTTACTTATGAAATAAGCTAACATAATTTTTATTTCTGTTAATCACCCACGTAATGGATGCATATTTACCAACGCAGTGGCAGTTTATTGATGCCCTTGTTGTAGAAATTATCTGGACGGAGGCAACAAATTCTTCAAAGGCATTATGTACTGCCTCTCGGGTAGCGAATTTCTTTCCCGCCAAAAAGTTATCCAAATTCTGGAAAAAGTAGAAGTCTGTAAGTGCAAGGTACAGTACAGCGGATGACCGGAGCTTCCAACCTCAGCCCTTGTAACTCACAATCTCGCTCTTAGTTCTTTATATATCAATTTTTCTGGCATCCGCTTTATTATGGAGTGGCGCTGCATGGCTAACCGACTGATTTATTTTTACTCTTACCAGAATTTCTTATTAAAGTATATCATTTATAGTCTATGGTTAAAGTATTTCTCTTCTTATTCGTGTGGTTAATTACTGAAGGTCGTGCTTGCCCTGAAATGCTTTCACCGATGTGTCGATTAGCTTCCTCCATACCACTCTGTCCTCGGCTTGTCTCAGGGCAGTCGGAATATTAAGTCCCGTTATGTTTTGAATCTGGTCGGACCAGCGGGTAGGTAATCGCCCACGTGTTCTTTTTCCTTCGATCTTCCCTACTACAACCAATTTATCCAGATTGTCTGGTTGTCTCCGGGCAATATGACCAAAATAACTTAGGACTCGTTGGTAGCATATAGTGGATAGTCTGGTAGTAATCTTTAGTTGGTTAAAGTATTATTAGTACATAATTCACAACAAATAACAAATATTGCTGGCTCACAATTTTAATATGAAAGTGATAGTAAACAGCTTTCGGGAAACTACGACACATCATCTTCTCGTTAGACATACCTCAAAACCTGAAAAGGAAATTGTATAACCAGTGCGTGTTGCCAGTGATGACTTATGGATCTGAGACGTGGTCCTTCACTGCTGGCCGTAAGAGGAAGCTCAAGGTCGCTCAGCGAGCTATGGAGAGGGCTATGCTCGGGGTTTCTCTGCGTGATAAACTTAAAAATGAGGATATCCGCAGTAGAACTAGAGTAACCGACATAGCCCAACGGATTAGTAAGCTGAAGGGGCAGTGGGCCGGCCATATAGCTCGAAGAACCGGCAACCGATGGGTAAGAAAGGTTCTCGAGTGGCAGCCTCGTACCGGTAGGCGAAGTGTAGGGCGACCCCCCACTAGATGGAGTTAAGACCTGGCAAGGCATGCAGGAAGTTGATAGATGCAGGTGGCTCAGGACCGTGCTTTGTGGCATTCCTTGGGGGAGGCCTATGTTCAGCAGTGGACTTATGAAGGGCTGTAATGATGATGATGATGATGATGATAGTAAACAGTACATAAATACCGTATAGTTCTTAATTCGATTTTACGGTTTGTTCATAATTAAAATTTTACTTTTCTATTTTTACTAATTGTAATAAATACTCGAATACAGTGCAACCTCGATATAACGATACTGAAGGGAATTAAAAAAAATATTCGTTATAAGGAGGTTTGTTAATAGAGGTAAGGTGGAACTACGATTCATTTTAACAAGGTAAGAAAACTTGTTTATTAACCTCAGCATTATGTAACTAGTGATCTGCCTGACGTGTACGTGTCTGAACATGTCAAGACATAATTTATTGTGGAAATAAGTGGGAATAATTAATAGGATACGTTGTCAAGGTTTCAAGTTGAAAAAATTGGTTCAATAGAGGTAAATAATATTATTTTCTATCTATATTCTGCAATTATTTAAAATTCGTTATAAACAGGTTTTTGATAAATGTATTCGTAATGTAGAGTTACATTTTGCATTATAGCTCTCACCCCCCGTTTACACTCTCGCGCGAGCGGTGAGGCGAGCCACGAGGCGCGAGTGTAAACGCTAGCTCGTGGCTCGCCTCGCAGCTCGCCTCGCCACTCGCGGCGCTCGCGTCGGAGGCGGTTTTTTGAGCACGAGGCAAAGGGCCTCGCGTGGGACTAGGGTTGCCAGATCGGAAGGCCAAAATATCTGGACAAAATTTGAAAATGTCGGGATTTTGGGGTTGTTGTCGGGAGAAATTAATATGAAAAATAAAAACGTAAAATAAAAATATTTTTTTAATTAATAGGCTACAAAAAGACTTAGCTTTGTTGACATATAACCAATTTAATTATACTTAAATTTTAGGTTGTCACATGTATTTGGCATTGGACTTTACTGATCCCCCTCACTTTAGGTCCTTTAGTAGTATTCAGAAACTATTTTTTGTTCAATTAAATTACTAACGATTTCTCTCTTTGGTAATAATAAATTTATATAGCAAACTAAACACTTACGTATAGGAATCGGCATATATTATGAAATATTATTTTTCAAGTTTTAGGTCGTTTTGGTTGCATTTTAAAAAAATGCTCAAATTTTGTCATTTTACATATTATCCTTGTTTTTTGGAAGATGTTTAAGTGTTTCTTGAAGACATATATCGATATATAAAGTCAATATCGGTTTGAAATATTGAATACGTCAGACGGATAACTCTATCTTCCCACGTAAATAAATTTGCACCTTCTAAAGATAATTTTTAAAGAGAGTTCTCAGAAAAATAGCGTTCTTGCAAGTATTGAATAGCTCGTTTTAAAAAATGTTCAGCTTTGACGCAAAAAGGGGTTTTCTCACTATCGGAAACGTTCCTTGATAAGGTTATTTTTCTACTACCTAAGAATTTGTCATCCAACCTGTTTTTAGATGACTCATTAGTTTTTTCATTACACTTTTAAGTTGTAGGACAGTGCATGCAGCACTTTCCAATGCTAAAATTGCTACTTGGAACTCCAACATTACGTTACAAAGTACAAAGTATAAATAGGCTTCTGAAATCCCCTTCCTGTTTGCATTCGTCAATCCGTTCACTATTATTATCAATATGGCTAATACTTTTTTGTTACAAACTCCCATATTAATATCTCTTTTCGACTTCCCCTTTCAACAAAAAAAAACTGTTTTACAGCAGTCTAACAATACAGTAAGTTATCTAAAGTGGGCAAAATAGATAGCCATCTTATCGGGACATGACGAAGAAGAACGTGAACGCACGTGGCAATTTTAAATTATTATTTTGTAT